CATATTTTATGTCTGAGGCTTACCAACACTTTAAGGTAGTAAAGAAGGGGTGAGGCTGTGACACCCAGAAGTATGTTATTTAAAGCGGAGCTCTACCCAAAAAGGGCAGTTCTGCTTTAAGCCTTTGTCCCCCATTAAGGATTGGCATTGGGGGAGCATGTACCCGAATTTGACAGGTACCTGCTCCACTTCTGCTGCAATCACCTAGGCGATCGGAAGTGGAAGTTGTCCTCCCCACTCCCTCCCCGTAGTCTTCTGGGACACATGGCAGGTCCCAGTACACAGCGGGGCCAATCACAAAGCGCAGCACTTCTCACACATGTGCAGTGGGCATCTGAAGCCACAAGCCATCACAGCCAGGTGCCCACACTTAAGATGCTGGCGCCAGGGAGAGAAGACAGCCGCTGAAACCAGCGGTGATGAGGACACCGCTGGACCGAGGGACAGGTAAGTGGCTGTATTTTAAAAGTCAGCAGCTACAGTTTTTGTAGCCGCTTTTTTTTTCAGGTGGAACTCCACTTTAAGATATTGAAAAAGAGGCGGGGCTGTGACACCCAGAATTATGTTCTCTAGACAATGAAGGGGCCCTGCTTTTTTCAAGTGTCTCTCCCAGTTAAAATGATGACACAGAGCGTGGTGGGTTCCTCTCTCCAGGGGTATCCTCCAGTGTGGCACATTGTGGGAGATGGCCATAGACTCTCATTAGCGACAATGATACACTGTAGACCGCTTTGGGTTCTATTGGTTGCTTGTTATCAAATGAGGATCAGTTTTAACAATGTATCAACATTCCATTCCTGACAAGGGTAAAGTGTAGGGACATCCACAATGTTTAGCATGGGCCATGCTCCACCCAAACATCTCAAGGCTTCGTGTGCGGTGTTGATTGGAGTGCATTTTTAACCCTTTCGCTGTTAATGACGTGCAGGTCATGCTCCGTTAGCTTGTTCCCCAACCATACTGGTGACACCAGGACTCACAAGTGACATTTTACTGAAGGGGAGATCAGCAAGTGAACATTCACAGGTCTCCCTCCCCTTGACCTGGTGGCACCCGCCATATCGGTCCCAATTCCGCTAACGGCCATGCAGAGCCCAGGAAACATGGGAGCGGACCAACACAGGGGTGTGTGGAAGAAATGCAGCAGTCATATATACAGTGCATATAAAACCTCAAGCTGCCATCGCTGTATGCAGCTTATACTTTCCTGTGCCCAATCCTGTGTGAGTGGGGATTTGTGAATTCCAACACCGTGCAAAATCTTCATCAAACCTAGAAAGAACTTGTCCAAAGTTTGTACTCTCTATGAGAATGAATGGGGAGCAAGGGGACAGTTGAGGATGATTGGTGGGGTTCAGGGAACAAGGTATTTAATAGAGTTACACTCTAAATGTTGCACTCTTTTCAAAAGACAAAATAAAGCCTTGCAATACATACGTGTAATACTCCAGTCTCTTTTGTTGGTAGTCTGGGAACCCCTGCCCTGTGGAGCAGGAAAGTAACTCCCAAACATTCCCATAGTAGGCTCCTATCTTTCCCTTACAGGAAGCTGATATAAAAATCAGGACGTTACTGTACATAGCACAGGATTTTGGAAGTACACTCAGTGACCCTGTGAGGTGCTACCTTGACTCTGAAATTACGGAAGTATTGGCAGGCTCTTCCTGAAGAACAGGTTAGTGAATGTATCACCCTGCAAGAAGAGGACAGACTTACATCCCCCTTATGTTTGTAATATCCTGCAGGAGGACAGACTCATAGCCCCCTTCTGTCTGTATCACCCTGCAGGAGGAGGACAGACTCATAGCCCCCTTCTGTCTGTATCACCCTGCAGGAGGAGGACAGACTCATAGCCCCCTTCTGTCTGTATCATCCTGCAGGAGGAGGACAGACTCGTAGCCTCCTTCTGTCTGTATCACCCTGCAGGAGGAGGACAGACTCATAGCCCCCTTCTGTCTGTGTCACCCTGCAGGAGGAGGACACTCATAGCCTCCTGTCTGTATCACCCCCCACAGGAGGAGGACACTCATAGCCTCCGTCTGTCTGTATCACCCCGCAGGAGGAGGACAGACTCATAGCCCCCTTCTGTCTGTATCACCCTGTCTGTCATAATCACCCCCGCAGGAGGAGGACAGAGGACAGACTCATAGCCCCCTTCTGTCTGTCACCCTGCAGGAGGAGGACAGACTCAGCCCCCTTCTGTCTGTGTCACCCCCGCAGGAGAGGAGGACAGACTCATAGCCCCCTTCTGTCTGCATCACCCCGCAGGAGGAGGACAGACTCATAGCCCACTGTCTGTATCACCCCGCAGGAGGAGGACAGACTCAGCCCCTTTGTGCAGGAGGAGGACAGACTCATAGCCCTCCTTCTGTCTGCATCACCCCGCAGGAGGAGGACAGACTCATAGCCCCCTTCTGTCTGTATCACCCTGCAGGAGGAGGACAGACTCATAGCCCCCTTCTGTCTGTATCACCCTGCAGGAGGAGGACAGACTCATACTCCCCTTCTGTCTGTATCACCCTGCAGGAGGAGGACAGACTCATACCCCCCTTCTGTCTGTATCACCCTGCAGGAGGAGGACAGACTCATGGCCCCCTTTGTCTGTGTCACCCTGCAGGAGGGGGACAGACTCATAGCCCCCTTGTCTGTATCACCCCGCAGGAGGAGGACAGACTCATAGCCCCCTTGTCTGTATCACCCTGCAGGAGGAGGACAGACTCATAGCCCCCTTGATGTATCACCCTGCAGGAGGAGGACAGACTCATAGCCCCCTTGTCTGTATCACCCTGCAGGAGGAGGACAGACTCATAGCCCCCTTGTCTGTATCACCCTGCAGGAGGAGGACAGACTCATAGACCCCTTCTGTCTGTATCACCCTGCAGGAGGAGGACAGACTCATAGCCCCCCTTGTCTGTATCACCCTGCAGGAGGAGGACAGACTCATAGCCCCCTTGTCTGTATCACCCTGCAGGAGGAGGACAGACTCATAGCCCCCTTGTCTGTATCACCCTGCAGGAGGAGGACAGACTCATAGACCCCTTCTGTCTGTATCACCCTGCAGGACCAACCACCAGACTGCTGAATAATAAAGTGTGAATCACCACTCCAAAGAACATGTTTGGATTGCTCACAAGTCCAATGGCGTTGTGCGTTACATCACACCAGGCCAATGCTTTGCACAGTTACCTTCGTCTTACATGCATCTTCTGGAACATGGGAACCCATTTCATAAAGCTCATGGTGCATAGCTCTTGTCCTGATGTTGTTTCCAGAGGCAGTTTGGAACACGGTTGTGAATGATGCAACAACAGAGGATGGGATGCACTCCATCACTTGGCAGCCTTACTCAATCCAGCATACTATCTGCCATATAGTATACATAGCGGAGGCTGGTACAGCCATCTTTAAAAATAAAGCGCAGACGGTGGTTTTAGCAGACAAAACTTTAAGAGCAATAACATGTCACCAATATTAGCGGTTGTATATTTTTTTTTTCTCAAATTCAACCTTTATACAATTTGCTACATAAAATATGTTTGTCACCTCCCTATAATCATCTGTCAAGTTTACAAAAATAGCAAATTCGATTCCACCTAGATGAACACCTCGATTGTCTCTCACTGTGCGGGGATTCCAAGGTCACCCGAGTTCACACACAAGGGAAAGAAACATTTTTGGGAATGATACCTAGATTCGAAAGGTCTGTATTTTTTTTTTTGGTATAGCCTTTGCCAGGGACTGGTCTGCACTGTGAACGTCATCTCAGGGAGAGGCATCTCCAAACCCTCCAAGAAAGCTCAAAGACTTGCAAAAATTGAACAAAAAAAAAAAACTTTGCAGAGACGCCTAGATCCTGGTCTTCGGTCGTGGATAAAGCTCCTGTGTTAAGCTCGGGACAAGTAAACTGTCTGCATAAGAACAACTAAACCATCTGCAGAATCTGATGTACACATAGCAGTCCTTAACTAAAGATAATGCTGAGGAGTAGGATTTGGCTATCCAAGTTACAGTATAAAATCCAAAACCCCCCAAAAATAATCTGCATATAGCACCAGAATAAAACATCCAGCTCGTGGCAGTTTAAAGTATGGAAGTAACGGCAAAAGCCACGGCAGAAGAAAGAAAAACAAATAGTGTTGTAGGAGTGACATGCAGAGTTTTGTTTGGAGGGGCTGGTTAGTCACTAGAAACAAACAACTAAATAAGGTCATTAAATTTGCAAGCTAAGGAAATACTGCAGCATAAAATGTGCAGGAGTGCTGTGAAAGGAGGGAAGTATAGACCTGGTTTGTCAGGGAAAGGGAACTTTGGATTCATACAAGTTTATATATTTGATAAAGTGCTTTTAAAAGGGTAATGTGCCATTAGTGAACAATCCTAATCCATTTTTTTTATAAGGGTTAGCATACAAAAGAGGTACTGCGATGGGGTCTGACATAACTCCACAGCAGAGGAAGCTTCAATTTAAACAGCTTTTTTACCAATAAAAAAAGAACTGGGTCTTCATATTCCCCAATGGGGATCTTCCATGAAATTGCTGGCTCACGCTCCATAAGTTCTGGTGGTTTTCACATAAATCCCCATTCCCAAAAGCGCCATGAATCAAAAACAATGCCATACACTGGGGGCCCATATAACATCCGCACAGGACGCTTTCTTTGCATTGTGACAGGAGTTAAAATGTCCACGTGTTCAGTGAGAGTAAAGTCCAAAGTGTCCCTGGGATTTTCACTCTTCACCTTCCCTGGCTCCGTCTCCCCTAGAAACTGGAGGGGATAGCGATGGGGAATGCATCGTCTCTTGTTCTTGTAGGATTATAGCTATTAAACACCCCAATAAATTAAAATGTAGATAAAATAAGCAAGCAAGGCGCTGTAGGAAGTGTTAGGGATTGGGGAATGTGTGCTGGGAGGGACTAATAAAGATGGGCTCCAGTGTGTGTGTGGGGAGATCAGGAGCAGTCTCTCAAATCATCATTGTATCCCCAAAACCACTCTCGTTCACCAGTTCATTATACAGCTACGGTTCAGCGTCATGAAATAGACCTGACTACTCCCACCGGAACGAACAGAGGCAAAGAAGACCTGAGAGAGAAGAGACAGAGCAGAGAAAGGAAAAATTATTATCATGATCACAAGGAAAGACAAAAACAAAGAGAAAAATACAAAAGGCTTAACTGTGTCAGGTTGTTGATGTCTAATAGTATTCTAAATTTGTAACTTTCCCAAAATTTCAGCAGTAAATTTTGTTCCTTCTTTCCCTCTCTCCTTCCCTCCTCTGTTCCTTCTTTCCTTCTCTCCTTTGTTCCTTCTTTCCTTCCCCTCCTATGTTCCTTCTTTCCTTCTCTCCTTCCTTCCCTCCTTTGTTCCTTCTTTCCCTCTCTCCTTGCTTCCCTCCTTTGTTCCTTCTTTCCCTCTCCTTCCTTCCCTCCTTTGTTCCCTCTCTCCTTCCTTCCCTCCTTTGTTCCTTCTTTCCCTCTCTCCTTCCTTCTCTCCTTCTTTCCCCTCTCTCCTTCCTTCTCTCCTTTGTTCCTTCTTTCCTTTTCCTTCCTTTGTTCCTAGTCTCCTTCCTGCTCTCCTTTGTTCCTTCTTTCCTTCTCTCCTTCCTTCCCTCCTTCTTTCCTTTCCTCCTTTGTTCCTTCTTTCCCTCTCTCCTTGCTTCTCTCCTTTGTTCCTTCCCTCCTTTGTTCCCTCTCTCCTTCCTTCCCTCCTTTGTTCCTTCTCTCTCCTTCCTTCCCTCCTTCCTTCCCTCCTTTGTTCCTTCTTTCCTTCTCTCCTTCCTTCCCTCCTTCTTTTCCTTCTCTCCTTTGTTCCTTCTTTCCCTCTCTCCTTGCTTCTCTCCTTTGTTCCTTCCCTCCTTTGTTCCCTCTCTCCTTCCTTCCCTCCTTTGTTCCCTCTCTCCTTCCTTCCCTCCTTTGTTCCTTCTCTCCTTCCTTCCCTCCCTCCTTTGTTCCTTCTCTCCTTCCTTCCCTCCTTTGTTCCCTCTCTCCTTCCTTCCCTCCTTTGTTCCTTCTCTCCTTCCTTCCCTCCTTTGTTCCTTCTCTCCTTCCTTCCCTCCTTTGTTCCTTCTCTCTTTCCTTCCCTCCTTTGTTCCTTCTCTCTTTCCTTCCCTCCTTTGTTCCTTCTCTCCTTCCTTCCCTCCTTTGTTCCTTCTCTCCTTCCTTCCCTCCTTCCTTCCCTCCTTTGTTCCTTCTTTCCTTCCTTCCCTCCTTTGTTCCTTTCCCTCCCTCCTTTGTTCCTTCTTTCCTTCCCTCCCTCCTTTGTTCCTTCTCTCCTTCCTTCCCTCCTTTGTTCCTTCTCTCCTTCCTTCCCTCCTTTGTTCCTTCTCTCCTTCCTTCCCTCCTTTGTTCCTTCTCTCCTTCCTTCCCTCCTTTGTTCCTTCTTCTTCCCCCTCTCCTTCCTTCTCTCCTTTGTTCCTTCTTTCCTTCTCTCCTTCCTTTGCTCCTAGTCTCCTTCCTGCCCTCCTTTGTTCCTTCTCTCCTTCCTTCCCTCCTTTGTTCCTTCTCTCCTTTGTTCCTTCTTTCCCTCTCTCCTTGCTTCTCTCCTTTGTTCCTTCCCTCCTTTGTTCCCTCTCTCCTTCCTTCCCTCCTTTGTTCCCTCTCTCCTTCCTTCCCTCCTTTGTTCCTTCTCTCCTTCCTTCCCTCCTTTGTTCCTTCTCTCCTTCCTTCCCTCCTTTGTTCCTTCTTTCCTTCTCTCCTTCCTTCCCTCCTTTGTTCCCTCTCTCCTTCCTTCCCTCCTTTGTTCCTTCTCTCCTTCCTTCCCTCCTTTGTTCCTTCTCTCCTTCCTTCCCTCCTTTGTTCCTTCTCTCTTTCCTTCCCTCCTTTGTTCCTTCTCTCCTTCCTTCCCTCCTTTGTTCCTTCTCTCCTTCCTTCCCTCCTTTGTTCCTTCTCTCCTTTGTTCCTTCTTTCCTTCCCTCCTTTGTTCCTTCTTTCCTTCCTTCCCTTCTTTGTTCCTTCTTTCCTTCCCTCCCTCCTTTGTTCCTTATTTCCTTCTCTCCTTCCTTCCCTCCTTTGTTCCTTCTCTCCTTCCTTCCCTCCTTTGTTCCTTCTCTCCTTCCTTTGTTCTTTCTCTCCCTTCTTTCCTATATAATTAGGGAGATCCACCCTCTTTATTTGTTTTTGTTTACCATTATCATTAAAAGTGAAAGTAAAAGACAGCCCAAATTTTGGGTTGTCCCCAGAAAAGTAATAGTGGGGAAATCTTTCAATGGGGACACTGGTTCTGGTGACCTGGGGGTTTCCCAGAGAACTCCTTTCACTTCCTGTTTTGGCTATGGGACAGAAAGTGAAGGTAAACCTACCCATTGGGACACAGATGGAAAAAAAAAAATCCGACAGGAGTTATAGCCCTCCCTTACTTTATCCAAAACTAAAAAAAAAGTTTTGCCTATAGTTCTACTTGGCGGTAGATGAATATATGTAAATATGCATGCTGCTTCCTTCTTGCTCTTTCATACAATTATAGTAAATTCCCTCGTTTGTCAAATACTTTCTTTGTATTTAAAAGTTTGGCACAATTATGTACAGATAGTAGGACTATCATAAAAAAAAAAAAAACACAATATTGCCAAAAGTATTGGTCGGCCAGCCTTTAAACGCACATGAACTTTAATGTCCTCCCAGTCTTAGTCCGTAGGGTTCAATATTGAGTTGGCCCCGCCCTTTGCAGCTATAACAGCTTCAGCTCTTCTGGGAAGGCCGTCCACAAGGTTTAGGAGGGTGTCTATGGGAAGGTTGGACCATTCTTCCAGAAGCACATTTGTGAGGTCAGGCACTGATGTCGGGGGAGGAGGCCTGGCTCGCAGTCTCCACTCTATTTCATCCCAAAGGTGTTCTACCAGTTGAGGTCAGGTCTCTGTAGGACAGTCAAGTTCCTCCACCCCAAACTAGCTCCTCCATGTCTTTATGGACCTTGCTTTGTGCACTGGTGTGCGCAGTCATGTTGGAACAGGAAGGGGCCATCCCCAAACTCTTCCCACAAAGTTGGGAGCATGAAATTGTCCAAAATGTCTTGGTATGCTGACGCCTTAAGAGTTCCCTTCACTGGAACTAGGGGGCCAAGGCCAACCCCTGAAAAACAACCCCACACCATAATCCCCCCTCCACCAAACTTTACACTTGGCACAATGCAGTCAGGCAAGTACCGTTCTCCTGGAAACCGCCAAACCCAGACACGTCCATTGGATTGCCAGACAGAGAATCATTATTTATCATTCCAGAGAACACTTCCCCACTAGAGTTCAGTGGCAGCATGCTTTACACCACTGCATCCGACGCTTTGCATTGCACTTGGTGATGGAAGGCTTGGATGCAGCTGCTCGGCCATGGAAACCCATTCCATGAAGCTCTCTACGCACTGTTGTTCTGCTAATCTGAAGGCCACACAAAGTTTGGAGGTCTTTAGCTATTGACTCTGCAGACAGTTGGCGACTTCTGCGCACTGTGCGCTTCAGCATACGCTGACCCCCCCGCCCTGTCATGTGACGTGGCCTACCACTTGGTGGCTGAGTTGTTCCCAGTGGCTTCCACTTTGTTATAATCCCACTAACAGTTGAGCGTGGAATATTTAGTAGCCAGGAAATGTCATGGATGGACTTATTGCCCAGGTGGCAACCTATCACGGGACCACGCTTGGAGTCACTGAGCTCCTGAAAGCGACCCATTCTTTCACCAATGTTTGTAGAAGCAGTCTGCATGCCTAGGGGCTGATTGTATACACCTGTGTCCATGGAGGTGATTGGAACACCTGAATCACATGATTTGGAGGGCTGGCCCAATACTTTAGGCAATATAGTGTATGTTCAGCACATGAGGCCTCCAAAGACCAGAATGAGTATGCAGTATTACAATTAAGCTTCTGTTTTCTGATAGCCTCGTGTATCAACTGCTGGTCTGTAGCAGCTAAGATAAGCAAAACAAGCTAGGAGTCACAAAGGACATTTCTCTCAACTGCCACTTAGCTGTAGAAGAGTGAAAAAAAAGTAACTATAGTGAACAAATATCCCAATAGTGAACAAATATCATCATCCAATCTTTTCTAAAAGATCCCTGTTGTGCTTTGATATAAAAAAATGATTACCTTATCATTGCGTTCACACAGGAACTTTAGTCGCTGAGCCCTCTTGTGCATAAACACCCCATCGAGGTGACCAGTCTCCACCGAGCGGATCTCAATGGCCTTCTCTCCCCAACCCATGATCTGGTTGGAGCAGATGTATGCTGAGAAATCAAAGAAGATTGCAATGAAGTATCAATGGACATAATAAACTATTTTTTTTTTCCTAATTGTCATTTTGTGTCAGCTAATAGACCTCTTCCTAGAAAGTCACACTCACCAATCCACTCTCTCTTGCCACCGCCCCCACTTTGACAGAGCCCTCTTTCAGTTTCTTTAAAGCAGGGGCGGACTGACAACTCATGGGGCCCCCGGGCAATAGGGGATCATGGGGCCCCTGTGTCCTTGCCCACACTCAAAAAAGCCTATAAAAAAGGTACCAGGGGCATTTCATGGGGCCCCCTACTGACCCCGGGCCCTTGGGCAGTGCCCGAGTGCTCGAATGGTCAGTCCGCCCCTGCTTTAAAGTGTTATTTAACCCTGCGAGTGCACTTGTACCTACAGATAAGCGCACAAGCAAACTTACCTGTACATGCCATGAATATCTCCTAAACTAGCACTGTTTAAGAGATATTTGCACATCTTTGGGCATGCTCAGTGATGCTCTGCATTCACGGCCACAAAGTATGCCGCAAAATATAGAGCGACGTGTTGCAACCAGCCTGCGAACCCAAAAGAAAGACCGGGTTAAGATGGAAACCTCTGCAGCGGTGACAGTGCGCTGCTGGAGGACTTTGTTTCTAAGGTCAGCTTATCGCAATGTGCCAGCATGCAGCGCGTACTAGCACATTATGGCATAAACCTCAAGGGGGTCCAGATTTTCCTTCCACTTTATTTTTAGTTTACTACCGCTTTAATGTGTTTCTAGGTTTGGTGGGTGCGGGGGGGGCGGGGAGATGTGTGCTTGAACCAGAGTAGCCAATGACCATGCTGGCACACTGTCACATGGGGAGAAGCAGTGACGTCTTCCACCTGGGTAACCGCCAACGCCATAATGGCCTCCTGCAGTTGAAGGTGTTGAGGCAGTGGTAATTGGCTAGTATTCATTTTTTTTGGGGAGGGGCGGCTATCAGTCGCTTTCATTAAAGCCACAATATTTCTTTAGAGCAGTGGTTATCAACCTTCCTAATGCCGCGACCCTTTAATACAGTTCCTCATGTTGTGGTGACCCCCAACCATAAAATTATTTACCCAGTAATTATAATTCATGAGTGTTGTTTTACCTCCAATACGGCTGCTTTCAACACAGTAGCTGCTTTTAACAGAGTAGCTGCTTTCAACACAGCACCTGCTTTCTACACAGTAGCTGCTCTTTACACATCGGAAATATATGTGTTTTCTGATGGTCTTAGGGGACCCCTGTGAAAGGGTCGTTCAACCCCCAAAGGGGTCGTGACCCACAGGTTGAGAACCACTGCTTTAGAGGAATCTGTCAGATCCTTACCCACCTGGTTTTATCATTTCTGATGCCTGCCTTAGGAAGTTTAAAAACTTTAGGTAGACATGTTCATTTTAAGTCTGATTTTTCTGTAGTATTTTAATGACACTTTTAAAGTTCTAAGCACTTGGTGATATAGTGCTTAGATTCAGAACTCCACTTACCCACAGAGGTCGGCATTTCTCCCCATTGCAGTACCACATCCTTGATGATCCTGCCATAGGTGTTGACGTAGACACCCTCATCCTCGTAGCACAGCAGCATCTCCATGCCGTCTGTATTTGGCAGGAAAATGATGGCGTGAGGAGTGATCTGACTCTGGATCTGCAGAAAAGAGTACAACACAATTCACGTGGACGCCGAGGCACCAGGATCCTGTATTGTGGGAAGTGGAAGAGTACTTACATGGACCGGGATATAAATATCATAGTTGTTCCCTGAATCCACATCAACTGCATGAAAACCTGATGAAGATCCGTAAATAACCTTCAACCGTTGACCCTCTTCCACTGTGAGGTCCACCAGCTGTGGTCTGTGAGGGAGATCTGTAAATGACTGCAGAGACATGAAGGTTTGTTATTGGAGCAAACACCATGCTGTTGCTTTACTAAATATGTCTGTTGTGACTGTCAATTTGTCCTTTAAAATCAATCCACCAAAAATGTGTTAGCTGTAGGTGGCTTAATGAGTCTGGGAAACTCCAACGGTAGGATTTTCCTGCTGTAATTCCTAACTCTGTTCCTGGCCACCTGGGAGTTTTGGTTGTTCCAGCCCACTAGTTTGTGCTCCAGCTCCTCCGGTTAAATTTTGAAAAACATAAATAAAAACTCAGCAGGGAGGGTGAAAGTCCCTCATATTGAGCTCAGCTGGTGTGAAGAGATGAAGGAAGCCTTTAGGGGCTTAAAGTGGTTGTAAACCTCAGACATGAAATATGAACAAAGCATATCCTTCTATAATGTGTACTTGTCCTGATTCAGAGCACTAAGTGTCATTTCTGTCTGCTGACTTGTTCCTCTGCTATAAACATGAATCACTTCTGACGAGTTTTCCTGACACCAAGAGAAAAATGGTGACAGCCTGTGATTGAGAACCCCAGCTCTATTTCTGTGTGCTATATGAAGGGTGTGTGTGCTGTGTGTGGTGTGTGTGTGGTCCCTCCAGTCACCTCTCAGAGCTTTCCTCAATCATGTAACTTTAACTCCCTACCCCCTGCTTTTCAGAGCTGAGAGATCCTGTGTAAATCTTGCACTTTGATTGGATGTAGGCGACAGATGGCTGTAGATAAACAGGTACAGCTTATGTAGGAGGATTTGTTTCATCTCTGTGTATCACCGGAGGATAATTACTTCACTGGAGTGTTTGCAATCACTTTAGTTCTATAGCATCCTCAAAATACCATATTATCCTAATGCAAACCTTTGTTTTGCCCAAGCAAGATCCATGCAGGATAATGGCCACTTAAATGGTGTTCCAGGTGTCTGAAGTCCAGAGGGCAAAGCAAAGATAAGAACATATTGCAGCTGTATGCTTCACTGCTCCCTGTTGCCCCATTGGGGAGATATATATATATATATATATATATATATACACACACACACATACTGCGCCCCCTATCCAGAACTGTGTGTATATATATACACATACACACATATATATATACACATACATACATAATATATATATATACCCGCATATATACATACACACACGATTTGCAGTTCTGGATATGTGATACGTGTGCGTGCGTGCATATATCCACACACACGATTTGCAGTTCTGGACAGGGGGTGCAGCCATTGGCGGCTACAGATGTCGATCACTGGGTCCTGGCCAGAGATTCTCCGCTGGCACCCGGCGATCGCCGAGATACACCGACAGGGGAGAGACCTGTGTGTTACAACACAGGTCTCTCTCCTGCCAGCAAGCACATGCTGCTGTGTATTTCTCTGCACAGCATGTCTCCCTAGTGAAAAACACACAGTTAACCTTTTGAGATCACCCCAGATGTAAACCCCTTCCTGCCCAGTGCCATTAGTAGTGTTAGTGTTTTTTATTAGCACTGATCACTGTATTGGTGTCACTGGGGATTTCAGTGGCAGTTAGCCAGTTCCCCCCAGTGTCAGAATGCCCGCCGCAGTCCCGCAATAAGTTTCTGATCGTCGCCATTACTAGAATAAAAAAAAAAAAAAAAAAATCCCAGTATATATATACCGCCATTTGTAGATGCTCTAACTTTCACATAAACCAATTAATTTACACGTATTGTGATTTTTTTTTCCCTGTCTGAAACTCACCTGTCAGTTAACCTCTGTAACACCTATCTGCAGCTCACAACTGTCATCAGCCGGCCCTCTCTATAGTTACCCTCATCCACAACTGCCTGCAGCTCATCTCTGCACCCCTGTCCACACCTGTACATTAAAAAAAAAAATATAAGAAGAGTGTCTTATTTTTCGGGGAAACATGGTCGTCATGGTACAAGGCTTTTGTGAATAGCCTGTACCATGTGATCTCTGTGATCATTCACAGATTTCACAAGTAGTAAGCAATGATGTCAGGAAGTGACATCTTGCTTACTACTACTGTATTCATGTGATCACTGATTGGCCAATCAGTGATCACATGATCGGGACCTCACACAGAGGTCCCGTACAGCGATCGGTGTTTCGCTGTGTCCTCCAGACACAGCAGGCACTGGATCGCGGCGCTGCGTGCTCCCAGGAAGCGCGCAAGGCTGTAAATTCAGGTGCCATTTATGAACGGCAACCCGCTCCTGCACTGCTCCCGTCCGGCCGTTTATGTACATGGACGGACGGGAAGTGGTTAAGGCCATTCAGAGACTTGCCTCCACCTTCTTCCCAAGATCTCAGACAAATGCTAGGTAGGTAAAGAACTCTTGCTGCACTAGTGGTTTTACCTCTTACTGAACTGGGCCTAAATTATTACCATGGCCCACAGTGACTGAAACTAACTGAGCCCTAGAAGTGTAGCTGAGTGCAGATGACATAGATTTATGGTAATAGGGGTCAATCTGTGAACATTTACCTTGAACGCCATGAACTTGTGGTAAGGTTTGGGGGCCCAGGCGTAAACTTCCACAGAGTTTTTCAGTGCAATCACCAGGAACTTAATACGTTCGTATTTCACTGTGAAAGACGAAAAGATGGGAGATGAGATTTACCGTGCTTTGGCATTCATCCAGTAGATTGGGTAACCAATGAGAACCCATAAAACCGCTGGTCCTTACCTACTCTGTAATGTACACATCCTTCCATATCGCCTACCGTGCTCCACCCTTGTTTCTTCTCCACCTCTGGGTCATTGTGGAGGATCTTGTTTCTTAGCCAGGAAAGATAGTACACCCGCAGCTTGTTCCTCTTACCTACAACAAAGAATCAGAACGACGTGGTCGTTATCAAGGGAATATTAAATCTGAGAAATGTGCATGAGTTTTATGTAAGTCCTAACAATCGAATTCTCTTCTTTGCTTTCTTTTGGCCTGGTAAATCTAGTATTGGATACTCCTGCATGGTAATAGCATAATGTGCTAGAATGCATCAAATACTACACATTATTGACATACTTACCTTAAAACGAAGCCCTCCGGCAGTGTGCTGTCAAAGCGGACAGGGCTTCCATCTTCACCTGGTCCTCCTTCTGGGTTCCGGCTGTTTGAATGACCGCGTCGCAGTGACATCACTCCCATGCATACGCACCGGTGTCATGGCCGTGGCACGGAGCTCTGAAGGGATGGCATGAGTATGCTGTCCCTTCAGAGCTCGTGCGCCAGTGACGTCACCGGCTGGAGCAACACTGAATATCTCCTAAACTGTGCAGGTTTAGGAGAAAATCCTTGTATCTACAGGCAGTGGTGTATTCATGTTTAGTGCTGCCCTAGACACTGACAAACACCCCCTCCCCCAAGATAAGAGCCTGACATTGACCAACAGCCCCCCCCCATCCAAGAGGGCCTTCCACTACCACCGCCCCCCATATATTGGCAACTCACCCCACCTTGACGAGAGAGAAGACACTCACCTTCACAGCTCCGGAAATCCACGGGAACATGAGTCGGGCTCTTCATACACTATCAAGAAGCACAGCCTCTCTCAGATCCCACCTGGTCCCCATGCTGTGTGTATCCTTTCTTCCATCTCTTCTTTCGGGGGGTGGCTCTGCCCCCTGGAAAATGCGGCTGCCCCCCCTGAAAAAAATGCCTGGTTTGCCTTATGGTAAATACGCCCCTGCCTACAGGTAAGCTTTATCATAAGTGTACCATCTATGTTTACTACCGCTTTAATTAGTGTAAAAACTACCTGTTGATCCTGACAAATTAACTGCTGGCCTGTGCCTTTTGCAGTTTTATCAGCCCTGGACAGTTCACTTCTCCACAATACAGAACATCTCCTCCCTGTTATGGAGATGGGGGGGGGGGGGGGGTTCTGTAGCCATGTGCCAATACTATTCTTCCTTAGATACAGTTCAAAATCTCATAAGGGTGATGAACGATCCCCGCTCACCGCGGATCACCTCCGACAAACACTGGGAAAAGAACGTCCTGACGTCAACATCGAGTAGGCCACGCCCAACGCATTTCGTCACCACGTCAGGACGTTCTTTTCCCAGTGTTTGTCGGAGGTGATCCACGGTGAGCAGGGATCGTTCATCACCTCATTGCTGTGCATTGCTGTTTAAGCTGGTGTCTGTCTGGACACACCTTTTTTGTGAGTTGCTTGAGCTTTTATTAAATTTTCATATGTTTTTAACATACTGCACCATCATGCTTTTTCCTTTGTCCCGGAGTGTGATTCATACATATATGGAGGTATGGAATTAAATGGAGAAATTCATCATGGATCCTTGGCTACAGAGTATTGCTCTTGGTAGTGATACGTTATCCCTCATACTGATTCACCATTATTGATTACCTGGTTGTGATTAAGAATTACCACATCTAATACCTGGACATCGTTCATTCACCGCTCCCAGAGCACAAGCTTTATTGCTGGTCTATAATTTGATCAGCATATAGCTCTGGTGAGTTTATTTAATTCATTTGGTGGTGGATTATTCACAGTGTTATGAAGTCACAGAGAATATTTTGAGTTTGATTTGGACACTAGTTTATTTTTGGACACTTAATATATGGTGATATATATATAGATATATATATATTTATTTAGCGCATACCCTTATGAGATTTTGTTCACTTTGCCAAATTGTTTGTTTGTGTATATATTTTTTTGGTGGATCTTGCTGCTGACACATAGTTTATTATTTAAAAAGAGTGTGGCGCTTTTTCTCTTTATTTTGTACACTTTAGATACAGTTCAGCGAGTGAGCATTGTCACCCTGGACAGGAAGTGACTTACTGGCAGGATCACAAAAAAATGAAAATAACGGAGAAAAAAAAAAAAAACATTCAGCCAACTCATCTAAGGCAAGCTGCTATATATTAA